CCTCTCCTCTCTTCTCTTTCCAGAGTGGGGCAAGGATCAACATCTCGGAGGGAAACTGCCCCGAGCGAATCGTGACCATCACTGGCCCCACCGATGCCATCTTCAAGGCTTTTGCCATGATCGCCTACAAATTTGAGGAGGTGAGCAACGTGAGCCCTTTGCCCCAGGAGGCCAAAGTAAAAGGGTCTTTGTTTTTTTTGGGTGGCCCACCAGCATGCCCATTGCTGGGGTTGGCAGCTCAGACTGGCGTGGGTAGCCCCAACCCATGCATGGACTTAAACCCTTGGCACAAAGCCTCCCAGACACCTCCAACCAGGCAAGAACTGAGCTTCAAAGAGCTGTCCCAGAGGTCTCAGAGTTAATTATCTACAGGGCTGCTCAGTGATGCAGCTACAGAGACCAACGTGAGGGACACAGACCAACGTGAGGGACACAAGACCTCTTTTTATTGGCCCAGAGCATTTGGGTTGCTTGGGTGGCAGACATCTGGTGAGGAACCAAGGGCTGATGCCTGGCACTCTTCCTTCCCAAGGACATAACCAACTCCATGAGCAACAGCACTGCGACCAGCAAGCCCCCAGTGACCCTGAGGCTGGTCGTGCCAGCTAGTCAGTGCGGCTCGCTGATCGGCAAAGGAGGCTCCAAGATCAAGGAGATCAGGGAGGTGAGTTGGGTTTGGTTTCGTTATCACGTGGAATCTGCAGCCAAAAGGGAGCTGCTTGGGCAAGGGGGAATCCATCACGAGCCACGTGGCTTCCCAGGGTGATGATGGATCATCACGATGATGGAAGACCGGCATCCCATGGGAGCTTGCTGAGGTGCTCCCACGAGGATGCTCTCAGGAGGCACGTGGCTTCAGGGCTGGAGCTGGCTCCTAGGAAAGGCATTCAGCTGTGGGAATTCTCCTCCCTCTCTCTTCTTTTTCTCTCTCCAGTCCACAGGTGCTCAGGTTCAAGTGGCGGGGGACATGCTGCCCAACTCCACGGAGCGGGCGGTGACGATCTCGGGGACACCCGACGCCATTATCCAGTGTGTCAAACAGATCTGTGTGGTCATGCTGGAGGTACAGTCTGTGACAAAGGGGGTAAAGTACATAAGACAAAGCAACCCAACCCAGCTGGTACCACAAGAGCACTGGGAGCTGTGGAACGTGTCTCCCGTGCCCTTCGCCACGCGTTGTTGGACCGCTCTCGTTTCCTGGTTTGAAACCCACCCCATGTGTTGGCCCCACCATTGTCCCTTTGTTTTCTAGAGTCTCACGCTGGAAACCTGCCCGGTTGGGTGCCCCAAAGGAGATGGTTTGTGTCATAGCACAGAGTGGCTTTGGAAGAGAAGGGTGCCAGAGGAGACCAGGGAGGCTGGAACAGCCATAACTTGGTGTCCCAGCAGGAAAGGGATGGGGGTGCAGCCACTCCACCAAGGTTTTGGCCTCCTCCACGTAGAGCTGCTGCCCCATGGATGGGAGGAGAAGGCCAGAGCAGCTCCTGTGCTGGGGAGTGCAAAGCTGGGCTCCGGTGAGGCACAGCAGGAAGGGTAGTGAGGAGAGCTGGTGGAGAGCAGGGCTTGGAGGGTCTATGGTCCTGTGTCCAGAGTGATGGGTTCTGGGAGAAATGTTGATGAGAAGAGCCTGAAAATCTTTGCCATGAAGAGATGCTGCTGCACCAGGGATGTGTTGCCAGGAGATGACCACAGCCAGAGCCCCAAATGTCCACCCCTGCCACCTCGGAGGGGAGAAGATGCAGGAGGGAAGATGTGGGGACACGGGATGGTGACACCCTCCACTCCTGGTGCCTCCTAGAGGGAGATGGTCCCAGAGCTGCCCTTTCAGGGCAGGGAGAAGCCCATTTGCTGCTGCAAGGAGCTTGGGATGAGGACATCAAGGCTTGGTGGTGGAGGAGAAACGAAACCAAACGATCTGTGCTTTGATTGTGCAGCTTTCCTGCAGACCTGTGCTTAGCAGGAAGATTTGGGTGTCCTGCTTGGCTACGAGTAGATGTTTAGAAGAATGTAGAGAAAAAAAAGGAAGAATTTTCCACAAGACAGTGTCATTTCTATTGCCTGTCTTTTCGTAGCAGTAACTGGGTCATCTCACTTTGGGTAGAACCAGGAGGGGTTTATTTGGGATCTCTCCTGATCCCTAGAAGACCCCACAATCTCTTCTGTTGCCTGCTGGTTGCACTCAAGAGAAAACCAACAAAGATAACTGGTGAGAAGATCAGGCACTGCACAGTGGGATGAGAAAAAGGAAAGGATGATGAAGGAAAAGACCTTCATCATCAAGTCCAACCATCAACCCAACATTACCAGGACCATTAAACCATGTCCTGAATACCACGTTTACACGTTTTTTTGAACACCTCCAGGGATGGTGACTCCACCACCTCCCTATGGCTTGATGTGCCTCACTACAGCTTGTGATTAGACCTTCTCAGAGGTGAGATGTCCTGGCCAGATGGAGTGGAGCTGCTCTGGGCCACACTGTTGCAGGAGGAGAGCTGGGAGTGCACATGGGTCAGTCCTTCTGCTGCTGGCATCTGGCTGGCTGCTCACATGGACTTCTACCTCCAGGCCAAGACCTCTGGAAATGCTGGTGGTGTTGTCCAAGAGGGGTTTCCATCCTCTGGCTCCTCCAGAGCTCAGCATCCTGGCCAAAGGGATTCCTGCTACTTGTCCCACCAGGGCATGGAAGGTCTTGAGCACAACGATGAAGCCTTGCAGCCTCAGCTCCACGTCCACCCACATCCCAGCTTGGATGACCAAGACCTCTGGAAATGCTGGTGGTGTTGTCCAAGAAGGTTTTCCATCCTCTGGCTCCTCCTCCAGAGCTCAGCATCCTGGCCAAAGTGATGCCTGCTACTTCTCCCACCAGGGCATGGAAGGTCTTGACCACAACGATGAAGCCTTACAGCCTCAGCTCCATGTCCACCCACATCCCAGCTTGGATGGCAATGAACCAGACCAAGTCGTGAAGGTGACCCCATTCCAATGGTGAAGAAGATGAGAGGGTTCACCTTTAAGCACCATGCTAGGTTGCTCAGAGGGGCTACTTGCTCCTCCTGATACCCAGACTCACGGTGCTGCCTCCCACCTCCTGGTGCTTGGTGGGGCTGGTAGAACTCTGAGCAGGCTGGCAACATGAAGACTCCTCAGTCTGCAAAGAAAACCACCTCTCAAGAGCTCTGGTAGCATCCAGGGCTGACAAATGAGGAGACCTCCCCATCTTTCTTCACCCAGAGGTCTCCTCGGGGCATTTGGAGGAAGATGCTGCCTTCCAGCATCAGCCTTGTAGATGGGACCAAAGGCGAGGGAGGCAGCCGAGCTCTGGGAAGCTATGAAGGGCCCTGAGCCTTGACAGGGGACTCTCCTGTCCCTCACCTCGTCCTCATTGTCCACACCACACCTCTTCCCCCGTGTCCTCCAGTCCCAAAATCATGCTTTACCTGCCGGGGGTGCCTCCAACCCCTCCGGGAGGGGCCGCGCTCCGTCGGGTGCTTTTCTAACTCTTTTTTTTTTTGTTGTTTTTCTTCCCCACCATTGCAGGAAAAGCTCTTCTAATGTTCTCTCTCCCTCTCCTTATCCCTTTTCCTAGTCCCCACCAAAAGGTGCCACCATTCCCTACCGCCCAAAGCCCGCCTCCACCCCTGTCATTTTTGCAGGTGGTCAGGTAAGAGCCGACCCGCTTGCAGCCTCCACTGCCAACCTCAGCCTTTTACTGCAGCACCAGCCGCTGCCCGTTAGTGCACTCAGGTTTCTTGCCTTCTGACTTGCATGGGGCCATCCCATCCGTCACGGGTCACGTCGGGTGGACCAAAGCTCTTTGCAGAACTGCTAAGGGGGTTTGCAAGCCCCCCACCCCGGGTTAAACGGCGGAGCTCCTCTGCTGGAGGATGAGGGCAGGGGCAGG